AAACATCTCGATCAATTCGTATATGTGATCGAGTTTCAGCTGAAGCAAATGAAGAAAATCTTGTTAGTCGTCTCATTGACACTGTTGTTCATTATTCTTTGTTGTTTATTGTCGTCTTCTTCGTCTATCAAAGGATTTAATAAACAGCACTTTTCTTTTCAACACACTACGTATTAAAGGTTCTTAATTTCTTCTCCCTTGCTGATTCTTTTCTCGTTTAGTTTTTTTTTTCTTTTTTTTTTTTTAAAGAAAACTGGAGAGACTACAATCGTGTTTGACAGCTCAAAGCGCTTATAAATTACTTCGTGATCGATAAACAAATTGATAGTTTCAATAGAAACGAAAATTGTCTATTTCTCAATGTATCATTCTATTTGTAGATATTTTTAAAACAATTTCAAGAATTAAAAAGAAAAATAATTTCTCTATCAAAATACTGATCACTTTTCTTACTATATTTGTTACATGATTCAATATGTATGTAATTTATTAAGCATGTTTACATTTTTAATCAACATACAAATATACATATAGATTTCGATATATATAATTATATAGCTATATACAATTCATTATTATCTTCTTTTCATCCATGTATAAAAAAGAAAGATGATATTGTTTTTAATGAGGTCGCATTTTATTATTTCTGTCATATTATCCAAAAAATATGTTAAAACAAAAATGAATACAATTAAATCATTTTAATTAGTTTCTATTAATTAGTACATAGTTGCATATAGGATTAGTTAAAATGAATTAAAACAAAAAATTTGTTCTATCTACCTTTTCTAATGTCATAGCACCACGTCTTTGATATGGTGTATTGTCACTAATATTAGATCCAACATGAGTGGTTCTTCTATTTTCATTCAAAGTATTCATTGTTTTAAGAACACGCATCAATCGCTGTGTTCGACGAACCTAAGTAAAATGTTAAAAAATATTAACATAAAAATGAATATAAGTATAATTTGATGTGAACAAATATTTCTAAAAAAAAACAAAATTATAAACACAATTGTTTGTTCAATTTTAATTGTATGCATAAGAAAAATTTTCATACTATTTGTTTTACATTAATACAATATTATCATCAATTCTTCCACATACCGTTTCTTGAAATGATAATCGTTTAGTTGAAGTGGTAGATATTCGCATTGAATTCGATCCTTGAGTTTCAGCAGATGATCTACTTTTAGGAGTTTCCATTCTTATTATTCAAATGTGTGTGTATGAAGAACAAGGACAAATCTTATAATTTTATATGTATATTGAAGTAAATATGTTCTTTCGCTTATGAGACACTATTTACGGTCGATTGAATTTGTCTCTTCTATATTTGCATTTCCATCTTCAATGCTATGTCTTTTCTTATTTCTTCTTACTGTTGTACGATGCTAAAATGCGTAAATCATGACAATCTGTTCAATTAATGTCGTCAAACGCTCGTCTCAATCAGCTCAATCATCAATACAAATAAAGAAACAGTCCATTTGATATATGTGCTATTCTCTCACTCTCTCTCTTGCGCGCGCTTGTCACGATGCCAATACTAGACGTCATTGTCAATGTTGTCACATTAACGATTTTGATTTGTATGCTATCAATAAATACAATGTTATTTCCTGATTGAATATGAAACACTTTACTTGACATTTTAAATGAAGCAAATTTCATATTAGTTTAATCTCATAAATTGATTTCTTTTTCCAAAAAAGAAAGACGATTGAATCACAATGTCGATAGTTTTACAATGACAAGATGGTTCATCGCACATGTCTAAGTATACTCAAATAATTCTACGTGATATTTTGTAAATCCATTAGGAAATAATCTAGTCTACGTCAAGTAAGCGTCGATTTTCAAACCAATAAAAACAGATATCTACTAAAAGTTGACTTTAATCTCAAAAGTTGATAACTGTTAGAAAAATTTCCAATGTCATATATAATTTTTTCTATTAGTATTGAATCAAACCATTCACATCATCAATATTCAGATATTTCAAATCGAATTTAGTCAAGTAGTCGTGGTTTCATGATGTTTATTTTCTACTATACAATTATATTACTATCAGATGACCAAAAAAAAAAGAGTCAAAACTAAAAAAGATTTTTTTAATAATTAGTTTCTCTCAACATGATTCTTCATTTAGATAGTAGTCCAAAATAACTTTCGAGGATAACACATGTATTTCCTAACATACACAAACACTACAAACCTCTTGACACTTACTCGATGTCACTCATCAGAGATGTTGAGCGATCTCTCTTTTTCATAACTGACGCAGTACAATCCTTTTCGAATGCAACAACATCAATATGCAAGACAACTTCCTTTCTTACAATAATACTATCATGTAAGCAAAACAATGCATAAAGAAACCGAAACTTTTTTTTTTCTTCTTTTCTTTGTAATAAAAGATGTTGCTCTGACACGCTAATGTTGTCACCCACCCACACATTTTCGTCATCGCAACATGTATTTGATCAGAGTTGATCATTTACCTCTTGGTAAATTGTAATAAGCAATGATCAACTCTGATCAAATACATGTTGCAATGATGAAAATGTGTGGGTTGATGACAATACTAGTCTACCAGAGCAACATTTTCATCAAAAATAAAAGAGATATTCAATTAAATATCTGTGGAAACATTTGTTCTGGAAGTAAACTTCGAAAATCAGCGACTTTTTTGTTTGCTGCTTCTGCGATGTGTTAGAGGCATCGAAAACACTAATGAGTACAGTGAGATTGTTTAGACGAGTGTTTAATTCGAAATATTGCTGTATTTATCGAAGCTGGAAACCGATTTAATAGTTATGCGAGCCATTCAATGTTTACTTTTCTATAATTCACAGCAAAGGATACATCGAAATAATTCTGAAGTATTTCATTGTATCCATGTGAGGGCTGCCAAATTCAAATGTAAAAAACCAGGAATGTCTCAGTAAAAAACCAGTAGTTGACCAGGAGATTTTACTGAAAAACCAGGAGGGAAAACCAGTAGATCTTTAAGGAACTACAGTAACTATTTGACTGATTTGTTTCGAAAGAAACTGAAGTTTTCGTTCAGATAACTATCTATTTCTTTCTACTGTTAAGTTAGTGGTGAGAAGACTATCTTCTAAGTGAGACATAAAGAAGAGAAAAAAAAGATAATTTATGCATTTTTCTCAAAAATGAACAAGCTAACGATTTCGATAACCATTCTTTTTTACATTCATAAATAAACTTCAGTTACTTTCTTGCATGATCATGAAACAGTTTTCAATTTGAATTTTTTCTAATGAGAAAGAATCAGTATTTTTACCTGATGTGGTAAAGTTTATGACAAAAAATTTCGTCTAATAAATCTCAGACTTCCGTGTTCTCATCTTCTTGCAACGTATGTATTCGATAAATGTACAGTTGATTCTTTGTTTTTATTCACAATTACACAAGTCTTTGGCATTGGATTTGCTTATGAAATTGATCATCTTAGTTTTGTAGAACTCAAGCAGAAACAAAGTGTTTTCTTCTCGGTTGTTATATCTATGAAAAATTGTTATAGTTGTTTTTTTTCGTTTTACTGATTCAACATGTCACGAAAACTCAGAGTAATGAAACCCTTAAAAACCAGGAGTCTTCTGGCTAAATTAGGAAATTTGACAGCCATAATCCGTGTATCGTGCGCAAAGAAGTGACTGTTCTGTTTTTTTTAGGAACCATTTTTCTTCTTGTAGAATGTTGCTCTGGCAAGTCGATGTTGCGATCAACCCGCACATTTTTCATCATTGCAACATGTATTTGATCAAAGTTGATCATTTACCTCTTGGTAAATTGTAATAAGCAACTTTTCTTGCGGATATGTAGTGTACGACATCTTCGTTGTCTTTACACAACTATGTTAGAGAGAGAGAACGCAAAAGTGAAATGTGTAAGAACAGAAGAAATGTCGTGTTCTACATGCTGATGAGTAAAGTTGCTTATTACAACTTACCAAGAGGTAAATGATCAATTCTGATCAAATACACGTTGCGATGACGAAAACGTGCGGATTGGTGGAAACACTAGTCTGCCAGAGCAACATTATTAATAACAAAAATTAATAACTATTGCCTCACGATGTTTGACTGTAGTAGGTTGTATGTTTCTTTAACACATGGTTATAAGCAAGGTATTCTTGCTTTTCACTACGTGTCTTCTTGCAAATTTTTTTTTGCGATGGAAATTTTGTCAAAATGTAAACGTATATGATCCGTTTTTATTTAATGAAACCTCGTAATTTGATAGTGAGCGACGTGTGGTTGAGTGTTGTCAACATTTTGTTT